GCCCCAGTGCTGTGCACTGTTCATACATACGCCACTCGACCTAAGTATTATTAATGGTTACATAACGTGGAAGACCATAATGTATTGGAACTATACCTCTCTCTCTCTGGTAGGGCCTACAGAAATCATGTTTAAAAGTGTAATGTATAGGATAGTGTGGATTTAAACATTTTCCTAATGGTAATGTTCAAAATAAGTGTCAAGGAAAGTAAGTATGATTGTTGGAAAAAATGGTCAATATTTTATTTTGAATTCTCACCCTGACCTTCGCCTGGACACAGTGGGCGAAGGTCTGGATCCGCGTCTAGTTAGCATGAATTTTGTAAGCCAGGACCCATAGTATTTTGTTACGTTCACAGAGTGGCCCCCTGGATCCGCCACTGTAATGTGCTAATAGTTAATATAGCTTTTAACGATGCGAAGCGAAGACGAAGTCCCCCAATTTGGTGATTAAATCGGCAATGCCCTGAGAAAACGTCAAGCAACAAATTGAAATGCTTAAAAAAGAAAGTGCATGTTTTACTAGAGTGCACGAGAAGCACACACACAAGACAAGCGACCATTATTTTTTGTTCACGGTAAACAAAGGGGGGTGGCTAGCCACCCTATTCACCACCACCACCCCCCCCCCAGATCCGCCACTGATTGGGGTTTTGTATTAAAAAAAAAGCAAACTTTATTTGTAATTGAATTATATAATTTTGTAATTGTATTTGTAGATTTACGATTTAGGCCTATATTTGTAAATGGGAGCAACTTTAATTGTGTAATTAATTATTTTTAAGTATGTAGGTGTGTCAGAAGGTGCACAAATGAATGGTGTAGTAGTCTGAGACAGGGCGGTTTTGCCACTATTTAAAAAATATCAATGCATATTAATGTTATGTGCTACTCATTTATCTATTCTGGAACTGTTGTGTGCCCCTCCCCCTTTGAAAAATTTTGGATCCACCCCTGCGACAAGTATCAATAGTACAGTAACAATGCCATCATACCAATTTTCTTCTAAAGTTCAAAACCCACTGTTTTTTTTAAACTTGTGGAAAGGATAACATTGACTAAGTTAGTATAATTAAAGATATATCATTATTTTTATGAATGTGGGTATGTTCGTTTGTTTATTTATTTATTTACTCTAAAATAGAGATGGCAGGCTATAAAGGAAATTCCTATTCCCAATAAGATTCACTTACCATATACATTCAGAACAAATGGAACTTTATTATTTGTTAACCTAAAAATCCATTAAATACGACTTGCTATACATAAGGCTATGGGCGTCTTCCCCGTCCTCCCCGGAACCGACTGGGGCTCTCCCCTGCCTCCCAGGCAAAGCTCGAGCAAATTGTTTGCTCAAAAATAGAAATAATAGAAATTTTAAAGTAATTCGTATATAACTCGTACAGGTTGTTGTTCGCACAAGTGGATCTTCTTCCGCTCGAACTAGCATCCGCTCGAAAAAAAAATCCGCTCGAATTCGCTCGAATTGGCCTTCGCTCGAAGTGGCATCCGCTCGAATGGACTGGTTCCCATGCTGGGACATGAAAGGTTGTTGTTTGTTGTTATTTCGCAATTCGCGACGTCATCAACGAGCACAATACATTCAATCTCGTAACATGATTGGTCAATTTTTTTCTAATTTGCATAATGAATTTTTCCAAAATTTTTGTCTATTTAAAAAAGAGTGTGTAATTTATGGAGATGGTAACAATCATAAATCGATTATAAATTTAATTATAAATTTTTAGACAAAAAATAAACCCTCTTGGCCCACGGCCCATTTTTTTTTGACACCATGACCATGCGTAATATTAACCTGCAGTGTATATATACGAAGAATTTTTTTCTAGTAGGATTAGAGTTGACTAACTGGTACTTGGTGTGGTACTAGGTTTATCGCATTTATGGCTTAGGGGCCGCGGTTTACCTCCCTCCGTTTAGTCATGCTGGATCAGGAGTAGTAAACTCGGCGTTCGTGGGTTCGATTCCCACACGGGGCAAGTTTTTTTTAAATTTTTTTTTAAGGTCGTGGGTTCGATTCTCACACGAGCCAGTTTTTAAATTTTTTTTTTATGGCAGTTTAGTTGATGGTGGATAATGATAGCAAATCTGGAGGTTGTGTGTTCGATTCCCACACGAGCCAGTTTTTTTTTTTTTTTTTTTTTTTTTTTTTTTTTTTTTTTTTA